CATTATTTAACAAAACAAAAAATAGTAAAACACATTAATAATTATTATAAAAAATATAATTATTTACTCAATTAAAATTGTGTCAAAAGTTTACAAACTTTTAAGTTTAATTATAACACTATTTTTTTAATTAACAAAATAATACAATTATTTTTATATTAATGAAATAAAAATGTGTTCATCACTAAAGCCTTTCTTAATCTGCGAACACATACCTCAAGAAATGCGGCAAAAAATCACATTATTTCACACCATTAACGCCGAAAATGTCTTATTCGTGACCACCGATGACTTGGTCTACGGTCTGGGAACCAATTACAACGGATGTCTGGCTGTGGGACACAACCGGCCAATCACTAGCCCCCAAATCATCCGGGGTTTAAGTCACCGTCGGATCCGCTATATTGTCAACGGATATAACTATGGATTAGCGATGACTGACAATAACCAGGTGTTCAGTTGGGGCCAAAACAGCGCCGGACAGTTGGGTAGAGTGACCAGCAAACCTGTTGGTGTTAATAAACTATTTAACCGCGGTGAATATCACAAGGCAAAGCTACTATCCTGTTTTAAGGGCAAAAATGTGATCCAGCTCAGTTGCGGTTTTGAGCACACCCTAGCTCTCACCGGTGACGGTCGGGTGTATGGATGGGGTGGCAACGAGTGGGGGCAAGTGGGCTGTGGGGGTAAATGGGCGGCAGTTTATCGGCCGGCGCGCATTGATTTTGGCAGAAATTATACAATTAAAACGATTTATTGTCACAACTGGTGCTCATTTGCAATCACAACGGATGGACAGGTGTTCAGTTGGGGCCGCAATACTGGCCACCAATTGGGACACGATATTAATGATGATATTGTAGCAAAACCACGGCTTATATCAGATCTGAGGGATATCCAGGCCATCGTTTTGACTCAATGTATGGCATATTTTCATACAAACACTAATTTTGTGTGGTTTTGCGGTAAATATCGCGATAAGGATAGAGATGTTATTGGAAAAACTGTACAACTTTTGACAACTGGTCACTCTATTCAACAGTTGCCCCGAATTGACTCGTATTTTTGTTGTGAATTAACTGCTGTTTTAATTGACTACAAAATCTATGTAATTATGAGAGACGGCGTTCCCATTGAAACACAATATACTTGTTTTGAGGACTTTTACGCTAATGAATATCAATTCAGTTATAATACGATTGCCATTAAAGCTAACAAATAGGTTTTTATGATAAACAATCATGATAATTAATGTGTTCATTGTCTTTATGGTCATAACAAATATCATAATTTTAATAAAATTTTATTTGTATTACAAAAAATATTTCTTTACCCTACAATTACCTTAATAAATGTATTATTATTGATATTATGTCACACATTTTATTCACCTCCTCCACCATCGCCTCCGCCATCACCACCGCCTCCACCATCACCTCCTCCTCCGCTATCACCGCCCCCTCCATCACATCCACCGCCGTTTAAATCGCCTCCACAGCTACCGAAATCATAAATACCACCGGAATCACCGCCAAAGTCACCGCCACCTCCACTTTGGCCACAACCGTTGTTACAGGCATTATGAAGAATGCAACTGAATATGGCAATGATGCCCACTATCACCATAATAATCAATATTTCATTACTCGCGTTTGTCATCACATTTGATAATTAACTCAATAAGTTATAATCAATCTTGCTAATCACTTGCAAATCACTAACTGATGCTATTTTGCATGTTTTATGTGAATCATTGAGGCATATATTGAAATCTGAAAGCTTACTATTGTATTATACAATGTTTTTATACTAGCGACAAAAGCATTCAAATAGCATCCGTTTAATCATTATAATTATGACAATAGGTAATACTGTAATTTATCAAGTTTTACATTAATAATAAATAGTGAAATATTGCATCAATTGTGATCTAAAATGAACAATGTTTAAACAGATCTACTTTACAGTATAAGTAGTGTATAAATATTTTAATTAAAAAAATAATTAATGCAAAATACAATTAATATACAGCTATGTATAGCTTGGGATAGACCTGGCACAATACTAAACTATTGCAAAATGCGTGAGATAAAATCAATATTGATGACACCTGTATATTAATAATATACAACAGTGAATTATGTTTAACATTGAAAGACTTTAATTTAAATTAAAATTAGTTGCGTTTGATTGTGACAATAACATTAGATAATCAATGTTGCCTTTATTATTACTATCATATAATATGACCATTTTGCATTTAAAATTTAGCAAATTAACTTACTCGTAATAATCTCAATACATAGTTTATGAATTATCATGTTTAATCATGTAAATAAGCTTATTTTTAAATAATGTTAAAATATAATTGCTTTTTGTTTGCGGTTATAAATAATGTATTTTTATTTATTAATAATTAAATAATAATTTTTAATATAGAAATTTTAATGTTTAAAACTTTAAACAAGTTTTTCCTGTTTGGCCATTGAGTAGAAAATGGATGTGTTGTCCGCTAAGAGCTGTTCCGGTGTTCCCGACTCTGCAATCGAACCGTTGTTTAAAACTATAACTAAATTGTAATCAATAATAGTATTCAATCGATGGGCTATTGTTATGATTGTCGATGTCTTGAACTCTTCACGGATTGTCTTCTGAATCGTGTCATCCGTTTCCATATCAATGGCTAAAATATAAGATAATTGTAAAAAATGAATGACATTATACTATAGTATAGTTAGTATCGCACCGGCAGTCGCCTCGTCCAGCACTAGAACCCGAGTCCGTCGGAGTAGAGCTCTGGCCAAACAAACCAACTGTTTCTGACCGGCGCTTAGATTCTCGCCGTTCTCTGCGATGTCGTGATTGAGACCTCTTTCCAGTGACTCCACGAATGTCTTCAGATGTGCCGACTCTAAGGCCCGCCATATCTCGAGGTCTGTGTATTGGACCAAAGGATCCAAATTATAGCGCAAAGTACCCGAGAAAAGTGCCGGATCTTGAGGTATAATCGTTAGCTTTGATCTCAAGTCTTGTAATCCAATGGTAGAGCAGTCGACGCCATCGATGGTAACGGTTCCGGCCGTCGGCTCAATGAGTCTGAAGAGAGCCAACGCGAGGGACGACTTTCCAGC